CTCATAATTCTTTGGCGAGAATTAAATTGCTTTTAGAATAATGATGGGGCTTGTGTTTTGCAGTCTTGGAAAGTATCTTTGTCTTTTTTTTTCTCACAGAAGAACCTCCTTTGTTAAATAGGCTGGAGAGCATCTTCAGGGCCCACAGACACACCGAGAAGAGTCTGGAGAGTCTGATTTAACCTATATTATTGGTCTTTTTTGTCTTTATTTACATATAGTAAACATAAAATCATTAGGGAAGAAAGAGAGAAAGGTTTAGTCTTCTGATGCTGTAGCTCACCTGCTTCATGCTTTGTATGTTCATTTATACTTATTTATATACATAGCAAATGTTTTATATTCGATGCAGGCTCATTCTGAGAATGTACCCCTATATACATTTCTGGAGACCATGAAATACGTCCGGGGAGCTACATTTTTTTGCCATTCGCACCTGCTGTTCTCTTGTGAATCCACCAGAGGCTGCTGTCGACAGACTGTTTGACTGACTGACTGACCAATCACCTGACCCACCCTCCTCCTTCCCTAAACCCAACCAAGAGTAGTTTCAAAAGCACATTTTGTCCCTCCCACCTACTTCACTAAACCCAACCGACAAATTTAAGAAGAAATCCAGAAAAAGAAAAGCCGTTGTCTGATTTTTACCACATTTTACTACATTCTCACCCTGTTATTTACATGTTTATTTTATTTTTTGGCTTATGTTTTTGTCTTACACGCTTTCTGGAACTGTTCTTTACTGGACTAGAACTCTATCATCGTGGTCATTTCCTCTCTGCACATCTAGTCCACCTACATACCTGGTGAGCTAACTGGACAAACGGTAACAGCCAGAAGACGTCCAAATGGAGGTAAGTGGTCAGCTGTTAAGTGAAAAAGGAATCTTTTCTGAGTGTTGTTTATCTGTTTAGTGAACTTTGCAACATGTTTCCCTTGCCTTACCTTCCATTGCCTTGTTTTATTTGACCCTTGCTTTGTCTGTTTACATTGCTTGCTGACCATTTGCCTGTTTTTTGTATCTGTTTGACCCTGTTGATCATTGCCTGTCTGACTACTTTTACTCTTATTAATAAAGAACTGCATTTGGATCCTCAACTTCGTTGTCAGCATCCTACAGTTACGAATGTAATGGAGGGGCATAAAAATGCAATATTTTGTTATAGAATGTAGTGAAGTAAAAGTATAAATGTGCTAAAGAAAATATACTCAGATAAAGTACTGATACAAATTACTTACTCACTATTCTTCAACTTAGTCCTTGATTTATCAGTAGTCGCCACAGTGGAATGAACCGCCAATTACTCAGCCTCATGTTTGTGCGGCAGATGCCCTTTCACCCACAAACCAGCACTGGAAATCATTGAATTGGTTTTGGCCAATCTTGATTACCAAATTCACCTATACTGCATGTCTACGGCTCACCCGCAGGAAACCCACAACCTTTTTGCTGTAAGGCGACAATGCTAACCAGCCCATAGAAATGACTTGAGTACAGTATTGACATAAAAGTACTTACTTATAAACTTATCAGTGCCTTCATAGTAGCCAAACCAGTAGGGTCATTCTCCTCTGACATCAATAACAAATATTTTTATCAGTTGGATATGGGTTTTCTATACACTATAGAGATAGTTGTGCATGAAATTCCCAATAGATCAGCTATTTCTGAAATACTCATATAGTCTGTATACATATATATGATGCATGATGTATATCATATAGCACCAACAATCATGTTCAAAATTAGCTTTCTTCCCAATTCTGATATTCTGTTTTAGAATTTCAGATGTTTTTCTTTTTTCTTTTTTTTAATGATTATTTATTTATTGCAGAACAAAGCCAGCATACATAGCTAGCAACAAGAACTTCAGATGTTTTTCTTGACCACATCTACATGCCTAAATGTATTGAGTTTCTACGATGCGATTGGCATATCAGATATTTGCATTACATTCAGTTGAACAGGTGTACCTAATAAAGTGGCCATGGAACATAACTTTAATTGAAAGGCATAGGTGACCTCTTCCCATTGCAGGTCTATCTAGGAATCTACTCTCTCTCCTGCTCGAAGATGAAAGATTGATTGGCTGATGAAGAAACAGCCTCAGCTTCGGTGGCGGTTGTGTTTGCTTTTCCCTCCGCTTTCTCTTTCCCAGGCCAGAGCATCTGAGCAAGCCCCCAAATATTAAGCTTGCACATTTTGATATTCATTGTTGCGTTTTGGGTTCACACTATCTTGGCTTTATGGTATGGTAAATGTTCTCATTTGGGCCAACTTGGCGTGGTTGGTGAAAATCGCTCAGAAATTGGGTATCGGTTTGATATGAGATAAGAGGCAGTGATAATCATGTCTCAGTGCCCGTGGCATCTATCAAATCATGAGGGAGGCGGTTTTTGTGTCCGGTTGCTTAGAAACAGTGGGTTGGGAAAATGAGTTGCCATTGTAACGTTGAGACCGAAAAGATTGGCAAGACCGGTGAACGCATTCAACCGTTCAATGAGATTGCCACTGTGAGAATGACATTATTTAGCTGGCTTTCTGCTTTTGTGCTTTAGAGTTTTGGCTTTGTGCGTTTATGGAACACACACAGAGGACAGAAAGATGGCTCTTCACAAATGTTATTTCGTAAAACATGATTAGACCTGCTCTGCATTGGATGACCCAGTATGTTTTGTGCACCCGTTACCTAGGAAGATTTTTTTTTCTAATGTTTTAAGTCATTAATCAGAAACTATTGTGTGTAAAGAGTATTTTTATAAAAAATCATCTGGACACTGTGGCTGTTTCTCAATTCCAAGAATGCAGAGAACGGACTTGTGTTCTTGTAAAGATCGATTTTGCCAGTTTACCTCAGAAGAACGAACTCGGGAGACCGCGAGAACAGAGAACGTGTCTTCTGAGAAATGAGATGCTGCATATTTCCTGATGATCACATGATCTTCAAGCATTTTTAATGAAAAAATATTCAAACATTACAGCATTTGTACAACGATTTGTTGTTTTTCCCCTTTTCAATATATATATAAGGTTCACAAAACCCTTACAAACATACATTGCACAATACAAATAACAGATTTTAATAGGAATTTCAGCAAATAAACACACCCTTAATGTGTTTATGCTTTTATCAAGATTTTCATTAGTAATGTTTACTTTCACCGTCTCATTTAGAGAAACTCCTAAGATAAATAAGTTATATCTCTGAACTTTAATAATAAACAGGTTCCCACCTCCTTTATTTAGCCGCAATGATTTCTGGGACTCAAGTCTGCATCGGTGCATCCTCGATAACAAGAACACATCCAGGAACAATCAAGCGTCCTCTGTTCTTGCGGTCTTGAGTTTTGGAACTGAACTTTGGCGGTTGGTGATGACGTTACACAACAACACAATCTCTGAAGAACACATATTGAGAAGCCTATGACAATGAAATTCAGTTCCAAAAAAACATCAACAAAGAAAAACATTGCTTTCAGATTTTGATACTGCAACAAAAGAAAAAGCCATTAGAAACAAGTCATTATCAGTATCATCTCCTTAATTGATTAGTTCAAAACAGATATTCCTTCAGCATCAAAACAAGTCTTTGTAAAACAGGCAAGAGAATCTGTTTCTCTTTTGGACCTATTTATTGTGGTTTCTTATTTCCATTCCAACCTGACTCAACTCAGTGGTGTGCCCTATGAAAATTGTCTTTCCCCCTTTTACATCTTTCAATTAGGGTTGGTTCGATAGGCAATGCCATCGTTGATCACCAATGACCTATAGACATCACAATGCTGAGCCGTCATCATGATCCTCTATCCCACCCCCATCCCAGCAGCAACCCACTTGGGAAAAATACACCCTCAGGCCTCATTTACACTAGTTCATCTTAATTTTAAAATGGCATTTTAGAACAAAAACTATCCACGTCCACACTGGCGTTTCATCTAGCATTTCTGAAAAGCTCTCCATCCACACTACACTGCTGAAAATGCACATTATGTGACCACGAACACACACACACACACACACACACACACACACACACATTGGCATGCGCTGCAATATTTGCGCACGTGAGCTCCACCAGTCAGCAGGTGCTTTAAGCACAAAACCCCAGAGAGCAGTGCACGTCGGACAGTTTATCAAGGATGTACCACTGGATCGCGTCTCGCTATCGTTGTTAAATGTGTTATATTTAATTAATCTTGTCTCTGACTAATGACTCTTTGATCTTTTGGTCATTAGTACACTGCTTAAATTTTTCGCTTTCACGCTTGTACTTAGTAATTTTAGCGAAAACCTCAGATACTGTTGGTTGGTTTCTGTTGGTTGTGAACTTTTTTTACCAACCAAGTTTGTCGACGCCATTATAACGACACAGATCACTCTGCCTATTTATGCCAAAGTACCACAGAAAAAGTGATTGACAGGTGGGAATTTGTGTGTAAGTTCTCAGGTAGTTGAAATGGTTGGCTACAAATAATTAATTCATTATGAATTAATTAATTATTCATAAATAATTAATTCACCGCTGCCTACAATGACGATACCTTCATCCATGGTGTTGTTTCACAATAGACATTGTACGATGCCAAATTGGTCGACATCACCTAACCCTACTTTCAATTCAGCTTTACTTCTGTAGTGTTGTCTACAATGTAGCTTGAGTCAAAGCTGCTTAACATAGAGGCAGTTCTAGTAAATGAACTGCTTCAGTTCAGCTCTTACAGTTGATGTCATTAAATGTCACTGCTGAGAGCCAAAACAAGAGCAAATCCAACTGAGCGCAGCTCCACAAGTACCAAACCAAGCAAGCCAGTAGTGACAGTGATGAGGAACAAACTTAACCAGCTGACAAAAGTGAAGGAAAAAAGAACCCTTAAGAAAAGCCAAGCTCAGCTGGGCACGACCAGTTCTCCTCTGTCAAATGTCTTGTGCAGAGTATAAGCTGGAGGCTTGAGAACAATAGATATCTGTTGTAGAGAAGCTGTGGGTCAAAGTACCTCACCGTTGAGTGTTTAAGCCCACGGGATCAATAGGGGGATTCGTCTGTCTCTGGGGTCTCACGCTCCCTACTCCTCCATGATCACCACAGTATCTGCTCAGGATGCGGGCCGCGTCCAAGATTTTGTAGACCTCGAGATAAGAAAAAAAAAAACAGATATAATTGTAAATGCCTTTCTAATTATATTGTTTTATTTGGGAAGTGTTCCCAGGAAGTGTTCCCTTCTTCCCTAGCATCACAAAATTTCTTACTCTGTTAAACATCATTTGGGAAATATTTGAAAAAGAAAACCGGAAATCAGGAGGGCTAATAAGTTTCACTTCAACTGTATTTACACTCTTACCAGTAAATGATATTAAGTTCTATTCCGAGAGTTGTCATGACTGACCTGTATGCAAGAAAAATAGTTTTCAATGTTCCCATTTAAGCCAGAAACTGAAAACAGTAGCTCCTCGTTTCAGAAGTTCAGCACACGCCACCGCTGTCAGTATCATGTCTTCAAGCGTCGCAGGTGTTGTGGTTACTCAGTGAGATTGCACGCCTGTCACGTACTATCGCCTGCTTATAAATTTAAGTAAGTGAATAACAGCGTGAGCGAGGGTGCTGTGTGCGTGTGTGTGTCTCACCCGGTGGCCTGGAAAAGCATTTTCACTCCAGTGAATCCGTCGTGACAACAGGTATTAGGGTATGATTTGCCACTGAGCTTAATGGAGCTTAAAGAAAGTGGCCCTGAGCTTCTCTCCTGTCCGTCCCTCCCATCACATCACGAGAGTGTTCGCGAAGGCTGGTGTCACCTTGATATCAATGACCTGCCACTTTGCATGGGGGGGATTTAGGACTGTGGAGCTGAGATAGTGTCTCACACTTGCAAGCACAAGTCCAGCACAGATTCTCCTTCCATTGATTTCTAACATTATTCTTTCTTTGTTTTATACTGCCATTTCTTTATGTCACAGATCATGAGCTGGTATGGTGACTGTGAAAGGCAGAAGAATACAGGAGATTTATGGAGAAGGTACAGTGGATCAGAAAAAGTCAAATCACATCTTAAAGATTGATTTCACACAAAATTGAATATGGTCATGCCATTCCAAACCCACAGTTGAAGTTATTATTATTAGCCCTCCAATAATTGTATTGTTATTCTTTTTTATTTTAATTTTGTTTAATATTTCCTAAATGATGTTTAACAGAGCAAGGATTTGTTCACAGTATTCCCGATAATATTTTTTATTTTGGAGAAAGTCTTATTTGCTTTATTTTGGCTAAAATAAGAGCAGTTTTTAATGAAAAAAATAAATAAATAAATGTTTTGGTCAACATTATTAGCAACCTTAAGCTATATATTATATTATATTATATTATATTATATTATATTATATTATATTATATTATATTATATTATATTATATTATATTATATTATATTATATTATATTATATTATATATATTTCCTGATTGTCTACAGAACAAACCATCGTTAAACAATGACTTGCCTAATACCCTTTGACTTGCCAGTTAAGCCTTTAAATTGCACTTTACGCTGAATACTAGTACCTTGGAAAATGTTTAGTAAAATATTATAAACCATCATCATGGATACATAAAAGAAATCAGTTAATTATTAGTTATTAAAACTATAAATGTCCTAAAAAATCTTTCCGTTAAACAGAAATTGCACTGTAAAATGTAATAAGTTAACCTTACTTAGAATAATTGAGGAAAGCGATTGTCTTAATATTTCCACGCAAAGTACACTCTAAGAAAAAATGGTATAATGTTGTACCAAAGAAGGTACAATCACTTCACTTGTCACTGGGGCAGTACGTTTTTACAAAACAAAATTGTACCTTAAGACAAAGAAACAAATTTGTACCATTGCAGGTTGTACCTTTAATGACATGATTTGTACCATGGGAAACCAAAATGTACCTTTGGTTTTTAAAATCTGCAGATACAATATTGTCAAAGGTAATAAACTGATCCATGAAGGTACCACTACAGTGACAAGACACTTTGTACCTCAACACTGTCAAAAGTGTTCCTTCAAGAACTATTTAAAGGCGTTTTGCTACTGTATATCCAAAATGTGTCAATTAATTTGGATGTGGAAATATAAATGTGGAAATATAAAACATTAAATACATTTTTAAACAATATTTTCAAAAAAGTTTATGTTTGTGTAAATGCACATTTTCCATTTACAATAAAGTATAAAAAATACTTTAACATCAATCAAAAGATCTATTTTTTGCTAAACATTTCTCAGTTTTCACAAAAAGTTACAGAAAAACATTCTCTCATGTGCACTATAAAATTTTTCCCCCAAATTTTTCCCACAATACCATTGTAATCACTTAAATGTTCATTTAATTTACTTAATTTTAAAATAGAAATAAAATTATGCAAAAGTATTGTAATGAGATATGCATAATGTTTGATTAGCTATATAATACTAAAATGTCTACATTCACATTTTTGCATATGCTGGACTTTTGCCAGCTTACGTGCGTAGTGGAAAGCAAACGCCAAAGGGTGCAGATATCCATAATGAAAATGTATTTATCAGAAAATGTTTACCAAATGTTCATTAAAAATGCCTTAAATATTTAGTTTACAATACCTATAGTTTTGTTTTACCAGTTATTTTGTATTATAGAACTTAATTAATGTTTATGAGTTTCTTTAAACATCTGCTTTTAAATAATAATTCATGTTTTAATATGGAAATGATTCATAAATCACTTTGCCTTTCCAGTAATATTTATTTTCTTAGATATTGTAATGAAGAAAGAGTTTCTGGGCAGTCAAAGAGCTTTACATATTTATAGTTTTTTTCTGAAAAACAATAAAATTGTTTTTTTTGCTATGTATTTGGACATTATTATATTTTCTGAAGCGTATACAGGGAAAACATTTTGTGTTGGATTCAGTGTGTGAACCGGGTTCACATATGGTGCGCCATGATGCAATGCGACAAGTTTGACGTCAGTGCCACCCAAAATAATGGTTTCTCGCACATTTACTTTGACGGCCAACCTGGTGAGATTCATCTTCAGGCAAACACAAATAAAATCGTGTTCTATTCCTGTGCTCCTGTTTAAATTTAGTGCAGGACCAAATTATATATAAGCGAGGAAACAATATACAGTGGGTACAGAAAGTATTCAGACTCCTATCAATTTTCACTCTTTGTTATATTGCAGCCATTTGCTAAAATCCTTTAAGTTCATTTTCCCTTTTTAATCAACACACATATTGACAGAAAAACACAGAATTGTTGTCATTTGTGCAGATTTTAAAAAAAGAAAAACTGAAATATCACATGGTCCTGATTATTCAATTTCAACACTTTCTGTACCCACTGTATATACTCAGACTAGTCCATTGTATTAAAAAGAGCTTTACTATTTCTCTATATCTAAATATCTACAGTAGATATTTTCAGCCTAACTCCTTTGACTTCATGTAAATTATACTGTATTTTAAGTGAATAATTTACCACATTTTAGAGGTTACAGTGTTTAATGTTGGTTAGTATTCACCTAACATGCAGCTGGTATCACAGTGGTTCAGGGGTTAGCACTGTCGCCTCACAGGAAGAAAGTTGCCGATTCGAGTCCTGGCTGAGGCAGTTGGCATTTCTGTGTGGAGTTTGCATGTTCTCCCCGTGTTCGCGTGCGTTTCCTTCCCGTGCTCCAGTTTTCCTCACAGTCCAATGACATGCGCTATAGGTAAATTGGGGTAAACAAAATTGGCCGTAGTGGATGAGTGTGTGAATGTGAGTATATGGGTGTTTCCTAGTACTCGGTTGAGGCTGGAAGGACATCTGCTGCGTAAAACATATCCTGGAATAGTTGGTGGTTCATTCCGCTGCAGCGACCCCTGATTAATAAGGGAAAATGAATGAACCAATAACATGCAGCTGAAAGTAAGTGTTTTATTTTCATAATTGTATTAATGTTTCATTGAAAACCTGCAGTAATTGCAAAACTTCAGCAATTCAGTACTTTTTTCTTGTTTCTAATCCATTCTATTCTATTCAATTAATTTCTTGTTTTTAATAAGTCTAAAATTTAGCGATTTTTCCAAATAACCCAAGGTGTTTTTTACATGCATTATTCTTCGCTAATTGGGCTTATTGGAATCTAATTAGAATAAAAATCTAAATATCATCTTTTAAAATACGATGTACTTTTAAAGAAAAATGATGTTCATATATGTGGACTCGTGGTCAGATTTTACATCAAACACTTTTTCCCGAATATGTTTTATGCATATTTTATCTTTCAGAGAGTAAAAACAATTTTTTGTCCCATTTTGGACAGTTAAAAATAGTGTTTGGGACATTAATGCTGCAAAACAATTGCAGGATGACACTGTATATCTGCAACAAAATATAAAACATTCAAAGTATTTTAAACAGCCACTATGTACGTAAACACTCGGGCCCCAGGAGGTTAAAACAAGCTAAATTATCTGTGTTTGGAATAACCAAAAACAAGATTATTTATTTATTTATTTTTCAATGAACATTTTTGATTTTAAACAAAGCGCAAGATCCACCCAACAAAAGTACAAAGTAAAATAAAATGAAAACAGCAATACTGCAATTATAAGTACAAAATCAGGATTGAAACATATCTGATACAGGCAATGGGCCGCATTGAATCTGAGTTTCCATTAGATCTAATAGTAGGTCTTGTACCTTGGACCTGAATAATGCAATTTGGGGATATTCCCAGAACTTAAGTACCTTGCATAGAGTTGTTTCATAAGTGACAAAAAGGGTCTGATTTTCTTTTCTTTTTTTATTTTATTTTAAATAACAGTTAGGGTGTAGCATAAGCCTTAAAAATAATTTATAATAAATTATTTGGTAAGTTTTTTGAAATTACAAAACAGTTCTCCCAGACAGTATACCAAGCAATCATTGTATTGAGTTCTTCTCCTAGAAGCCCTCAATTAGGATATTTGAATATTGTCGTACTATAAGTGATTTATAAATTGTTTTCACTTAATTTTGATTCATCATTTTAGGAAAACAAAACAACATTTTTAGTTGTCTAAAAATTAGTTTGTTTAAGAATCTTAAGGACAAGAAACAACACAAAATCTCAAAGTAAGAAAAGCAATATTATTATTATTATTATTATTATAACCTTTATTTTACCAGGAAAAGATTAAAAATCTCTTTTACAAGAGCGTCCTGGCCAAGATTAGGCAGTACACAAGTCACATGAGTCCAACAGACAACAAACAAAAAAACAATTTACAGTTAACATGAATCACACTGACAACTATTCAAAACATCTACAAACCTGTGTTTCAACTTCTAAAACTTTTACAGTCTTTTTAAAAGCATGTAGTGAAATCAAGTCTTTGAACTGCAACTGTGTTTGCAGATTATTCCAAGCAAAAGGTGCTGCGTACTTAAAAGCCTTTTTTCCCATCTCAGTCCGCACTTTAGGGACCTGCACTTTAAATATCCTGTGAGCGAAGACCATAGTTAAGAACAGCCTTTTTACAAATATAATTCTGGAGATATGATGGGAGTAAACCCAGTATAGATTTGTAAACAAGGATATGCCAATGCTTGAGCCTACGAATGGACAAAGCAGACCAACCTACCCTAGTATACAGCACACAATGATGAGTTAGGGATTTAAAATTAGTTATAAATCTTAGTGCACCATGGTAAACAGTATCTAATGCATTCAGACATTGAGACGAAGCATGCATATAGATTACATCACCGTAGTCCAATGTCGACATGAATGTTGCCTCAACTAGCTTCTTTTTAGCATCAAAAGAAAGGCAGTTCTTAATTCTAAAATAGAAGCCTAAAATCACTTTTAATATTTTTCACCAATTGCTGAATGTGAGTACTAAAAGAAAGTGTATCATCAATTAAAATTCCAAGATATTTGTACTGGGACACTAATTCAATCTCTGCACCATGAGTAGTAGTAACAGGACCTAGTTTTTGCTTGGCTTGTTTTGAATTTGAAAATAACAAAAGTTTAGTTTTATTGGCATTTAAAACTAATTTTAACTCAGATTTTGTTGAAGTACATTGAAAGCGATCTGCAG